TTTTTTTTTTCTTGCGCTCTTTTGCTACATCAGAGGTTAGAAAATTTGAACTTATTAAAGCTGAAGGTGGTAGCTTCATTTCATCTTTATTTTCTTCAACTTAGTCAGAAAATTGTTGTGGACTCGAAGGTGAACTTGCTTGAGGAAGTCCTTCAATTACTTTCATTGCCAGAGCCACTAATTTTGACCTCTGGAACCTTGTTATGTTACACGCTTTTTCGAACAATNATTACTTTCATTGCCAGAGCCACTAATTTTGACCTCTGGAACCTTGTTATGTTACATGCTTTTTCGAACAATTTGAACACTTTGAACACTTTGGTGTCTCAAAAACGAAAATGTGGGTAAAACTTGACCAGTTTAACAAAACTGACAGTCTGTTCCACCCATAGAATTTCACTTTTTGTACATGAAGTCATGCCCACTACAAAGAGTAAAATTTTCAGTGTGCTATATATTGAACGATTAAGCCCCAAAGTAGCTGAGAGTTTTGGGGCGCATTGAAGTGTTGGTCTGTTGGTAAAGAGAAGCTGTAGGTTCTGATGATGGGAATGTATAAAATCAGAATACTATGAATTTTAAGAAGCTACAATTTTCCAATTACATAATTGATAGCATGGAAATTTGAATTATAGAGAACATTTATGGACCAGACCGANCTATATATTGAACGATTAAGCCCCAAAGTAGCTGAGAGTTTTGGGGCGCATTGAAGTGTTGGTCTGTTGGTAAAGAGAAGCTGTAGGTTCTGATGATGGGAATGTATAAAATCAGAATACTATGAAGTTTAAGAAGCTACAATTTTCCAATTACATAATTGATAGCATGGAAATTTGAATTATAGAGAACATTTATGGACCAGACCCAAAAAGGACTTTTAGGATTCTAATGTGTTGGTGTTGCTTGTGTCGATAAATGACATTTCTAGAAGTCATCTCAATGATTATTTTCAGCCAACTTTTTTTGTGTGAAAGAAGCTTCTGTTGTCAGGGCCATTTCATGCTAGACTCATGATATGAGAAATGATATAAATTTTTGGTGTCATCCGACTTACTTGAATTGAATGAGTAGGTTGTTCTAGTGAGGAGCTTTCACTTTAGCATATTGTGGTTTTGAAAAAAATAAATTCCTATTTGGAAGGACTACTTGGAAGGATAGAGGCAGGTTGAAGTTCAAATATTGAGCTAACCAACGGCTTTAGACTAGACTATCTACTCTTATAAAATATGGACTCTGTTGTTTGGTATGGAACAAAGATAAGTCTGGGAGTTCATCAAGAAAGATATGGCGTGAATTCTTGTGTGCAAACTGAGCACAGTTTGGACTGTCTTCTGTTGGGTGATCCCATTGTACTTGTGAGGTATTCCGGTCATGTTGGATTTGAGATGCTCCTGTATGATCCTTATTTTGAAAGGCTAGAGCTATTCAAGTAGATACTTGTTTTTTTTTTATGCATTTTCACAATTTTGTGGTCACCCCCAGAAATGTCAGTTTTGTTATTTGGTTTGACTCCCTACATATCTGCTAGTTAATTAATTTGCATTTACTGGATACTGACTTCATCTTTTCTTTTATATACTTCTAATGAGATTGAATTTCTGGATGTCAGCGGCTAGTGTGAGGTCTCTGTTTGGGCCCTTTGTTGAACTTGTGAAGTCATGGAACCTTCCGGGCTGGCTTGTGCATTGGGGTCACCCTGGTAACATGGTAGACTCCTTTTCTTTTGCTTCCTGCCCACCTCCTTGTTCTTTTTATTTATTCTTTTACCTCAATCATTGCTGCAAATCTTTCCATTGAGTTTCTTATTTAGAGTTAAATAAGTAAATGTTGATGGGATTTTCTCTCCTGTAATGTTGCAGGCTGTTGTGCTCTTTGCCATGGGTGGTTATGGAACCTATTTAGGTTTTCGAATTCGTTTTTCTGATGATGTGGTAAGACATCGTTAGAATACATTATATTTAGTTGTTTGCCTATAATGTCGTTTTGTTATCCTAATTTGCATTGGTAAATCCAGGAGGAAAAAGCAAAAGCTAAAGACTTGCACCCAAAACTCCTTGGAGGAATGTTTTTCTTCTTTGCTCTTGGAGCAACTGGTGGAATGACATCTCTCCTTACTTCAGATAAACCCATTTTTGAGAGGTACTCGTGGAAATTGTCACCCAATATCTCTTTCCTCATGACAAGTAAAGAGTTTGAAGTGTAGTTTCAGCCCCATTGTTTCGGAATAATTAGATCGATCCACGTTCTTCAGTAACATTATTTCGTTTCCTTTCACACTTTGTCCTATTTCATGTCTATGCTTGCAGTCCTCATGCTGTCACAGGTTTCATTGGCCTTGCTCTTCTGACTGCACAGACTATATTACCATCATTATTTGAGGTAAAAAAGACTTCCTAAACCAAAAAATTTCCAGTTGGGTACTGAACTTTCTTTTCATCTCAAAAACAATGAATATCTTTCTTTTTAGGTTTTTTTACTTTTTATTCATTTACACAGGGGAATCCTGGACTACGGAATGTTCATGGGATTCTCGGCAGTGGGATCATGACGTTGTTTCTTGTCCATGCTGCCCTTGGACTTCAACTTGGTCTCAGTTACTAATCGCTTAATCAATGCCTGGGAGTTCTTCTTTTGAGAATCATTTTTGGATCTGATGTATATTCTTTCTCCAGCTGGGGAATTTAGCTTCACAGGTGTAAACATGTACTTTTATCGGCTGTTTGGAAAGAAAACACTGTTGCTATTAAGTAAGTTTGCACTTTGCAGCAAGATTATGGCACCATCAATTTGTAAATCAGCATGAATATTGTAGGAAATTTATATCATCTGATCAGAGTTTTTGTTGGTGATGAGAACATTAGTTACAAACATCTTCTTTCCAATTGGTGATGTAAAATATGTAAATAGATAGGATAACAGAAACGTGTGCTTAACTATTGAAGCTTTTAGAGCCCAGAGTTTTTGTTCTATTTGCCCAATTTTACGTTTTTTTGTTGCACGTGATTGTTCCAGCAACTAACCCGTCTGGTTGCGGTGCAATTCAGAAGTTCTTATGCATCTCATATGATTAGTTTCGGACTTGTCAATCAATTTTCATTGAACTGATGAGCAATTCAATTAATGGAATTGATTTGGCTAGCCATTCATACATGCAAATGTATACCTCTTTTATGATGCACTTCATACTTTTCAGAGCAATGGACACATCTCAAGTAAGTCAACAAATGAAACTGTGCGGCTCTTAATGAATGAACAATATCTATAACAACCCCACCAAGACGGATGATCGGAAAAGCAGGTAATTAAACAAGGAACCATTCACATATAATGCTAATATAGGATACCTCAAATTACAATAAAACAAAATCTCAGTACGATTTAGCAGGCTTGACGGTTTACAGGATGTAGATTTCAGAGCTGGTAAAGCATGAACTGTCTTCAGGAATGCAACCACAAACGATCTCGCAGCCTCTCCTCTCCAGCACCAAACATCTCATCAACCCTTTCACCATCTCGGTAGAAATGAAAAGTTGGTGTGTACCGAATTTGCTGAGTGCTTTCTGGGCATTCATCGATATCTGCATATATGAAAGATAATTGTTGAAACTTGTTGCTCAATTGGCAAAATGTAGGCAGGATCTGGCTGCAAACGTGACACCTGAAAAATGATGAATTAATCAGCTTGAACATAAATATCTAGTACAGTGTATGAACACCAAAACCAATTATGCCTCCTATTTCATCAGATGATCTTGAGTGTGCTGTGTTCTACTCGGTGCAAAATCAAAGCTAGTAGAATGATTTAATATACAATTGATGTGTATGTTTATTAATATTTGCGGGAAAACAAAAAATAATGCCCTCATGGGCACAAATATATTCATGCGCCAAGCTGAAAACTGCCATTTTGGAATCAGATTACTTGCAAAAACAGATTACCAATAGATGCTTTCTACAAATTGAACTATTTGAAGTACAATTGATATTACAATAGATTACCAATAGATGCTTTCAACCACTTTTCTGGTGCATCTTATGCCATCGAGGCTTCTTGATCAGACTTTAATGCATTTCATAGTGTGCAAGAAATCAATTCATAGTAAGATGTCGATCTCCGAAGTAAACACAACAAAGCCAAATTTCATTGGAGTCAAACATCGAACACCTTGTGTTCACAAATTTTGCACCCCTCCCTCCCCCAACACACACACACACACACACACACATTTCTTGTCGCCCCTTTTAATTCCTAAAGTAAAATTGTTGGCTAAACTAAAAGATAATAATTGATAACAAATAACAGATATAATATATGATATTTGGATCACTAAAAAAGAAACCCAATTTACCATAAAGGGACGGTGCAAAGCAATGGGCATCAGCAGTGTAAACTTGTCAACAAAGAACTTACCTGAAGTTCAGAGATCAAGTGTAAGACATCATATGCCCAAACTTTGCAGCAAAACACCAAATATACGAGCATTGTCAAGCAAATAAAGTTCAAAAAAAGAACAAAATTTTCAAAACGAAGAGTTCAAATTAACCCATAAACATACCAAGACGCGCCATAATTAATTACTGCCTGCAAAACAAAAAATGTTTTCAAAAACAAAAATTAGCTCTCCAGCCATGAACAGAGATGGGTTTTATATGTAAGACTAGATAGAAAAAGGGTTTTGCTTACAGGACTTTTGGTTGTTCTGATTTGGTGAAAGACGTTTCTGAGATCATCGTCACTGGAGGGAGTGATGAGGTTGCCGTTGCTATTGTTTGGTAATCCTAAACCTCTGCCCACCACCCCTTTCTTTGCCGTTTCTTCTGTGCCGCCGCCCCCACTAACCTTACTCTCCATTACGAGTTAATTACTCTACCACTGTTTGCGAAGTGTTTGCTAAATATAGGGTCTGCAGTACATATTGTGAGTAATGCTATTGGACGTAAATAATTTACCTTAGGTTCATTAATATTCATCTATGGAGATTCTACCACGTTACTTGATATAAAAAACTTAGTAAAAAATTTGATAAATATAACATTATTCTAATTTTTTAGATCTCAATAATATTACTCATATGTTGTAAGTCCCACTTAATTCCATACTTATTTATAGAAGTCCTCATAAACATTGAAAAATTAGTTTATTGTTGAATCTAGGGATATCAAACGTGTCGAATTAAACGGTTGACAGGTAAAAAATAACTAAACTCATATACGACTTGTTTAATAAACACTGAGTTGATATGGTCTTTGACACTACCTTCCGTTAAAAAAAACGAAAAAAAGACAGACACTACCCTGTACTTGTGAGGTGGTGTTCTTTAACGACATTTCTAATATTTTGCAGACAAAACGGAGGCCTCGTCCCAACAAAATAAAAAAAAATAAAAAAATTGGTTGCCCACTCTCTCTCTCCCCCCTTAGAAATCAGAAATCCCGTCCCAACAGTATATCCCCACCCTCCTCCCCTTTGCAACTCCCCAGGCCAATCGACGACTACCACCACCTCCATTACCTCCTCCACCATCCAAAATTTGTTCTCCACAATTTAATCTTATTAAATAGTAGACTGAACTTACCGTGTTCTATTCGCAATATATGATAAAATTAGCTTGAATACGAATAACTAATAAAACAAAAAAAAATTATATTTAATTTATCAGACTCAAATTCTAATACAATTTGAATGGAAATTCAAATTGTCAAATAAAATTTATACATGTCAAATTTTGATTGAAAATATTTAAAAAATATAAATTAAGTATCATACCTCTAAATTATTTATGTCCATGGATATTTTTACATTTATTGAACAAAAAAAAAATTACTAGAAAAAAAAACAAATTTTCCAAGAGGAAGAAACATAAAAGAAAACAAGAAATATTGCTTAATTTTTTCGGTACTTGTAACCTTGGACTTGTTTTGCTTTTTACACAAGACCCAAGGTTTGTACACTCTCAAATCTATCAAAACTCATAATCGGTTTCACCGGTATATATTTTAAAAATAAATAAAACCGTCATACACTTTAAAAATAAGTGATAATATAAATTAAAATTAGTTTTAAAAAATAATAATTATTTATCTTATTTAAACCTAAATAAAAATATAATAAAAAATTTACAATATTTGGGGTTATTGAGTGACATTAAATTTAAGTTAAAAATATAAGGATGTTAGATTAGGTTATCTAAGTTCACCACTACTTTAAGTGATAATAGAAATTAAAATTAGTTTTAAAAAATCATAATTATTTATCATATTTAAACCTGAAATAAAAATATAAGAAAATTTTTACAATATTTAGGGTTATTGAGTGACATTAAATTTACGATGAAGTTAAAAATATTAGAGGTTAGGATTAGGTTATTAAGTTTACCAGGCTAAATTACAACTAAAGCTTAACACTTTTTTTTTGGCTATTACTAAAATGTTACAATAAGGTTATATTGCCACATTTTTTTGGGGTAAAATTTCCATTTTTTGGGGTTATATTTTGGGTTAAGTTAAAATTATTACAACAAAGTCTTTTACCGCTAAATAAATTATAACAAAGTTATCATATTTGATACACCTTTGGTGTTAAATTAAAATAGGTAACAAAATTTAGGGTAATATAAAACTAATTACATAGTTGAGGATGTAATATGAAAAATATGAAGAAAAAATTGAAAAAATGTGATAATTTAGGGCCATAAGTGAATTTATTGGACAAGCTAAAATCTTGATCGCTGATTGAGCGATTGAGATTAGTCTAGGGATCGAGATTGGTTTGCAAATTTGATCGCTAAGTGAACGCCCGATCGCTACATAAGCGATCCAGGTTGGATCACTCATATAGCGATCAACTTCTTTTTTTCTTCTATTCCCCTAAACCAAAACTCCAACTCCTCAAAACCCTAAATCAATGATCTAACCTAATTGCATACCCTAAATCAGCGATCTAACCCCAAATCGGTGAAAACCCAGCCTGATTGCATACCTAAAACCCAAAATCAGCTTCAAAATTTGGTGCCCTAATCATCTCAAAACAGCCTGCTTCGTGCTTCTTCATCAAAGAAGAGAGAGAAAGGTGTCTGTGACTTGAGGGTTCGACTACATAGTTGTCTCTCGTGGTTGTCTAACTTGCATATTGGGGGTGTATACTGTACAGTGATTGTCATGAGAATTCAGCTCCTCTACGGTAGTTTTCTTTTCTGTTCTTTTTTTGGTTTAATTAGAGAAAATTTCATTGAATTTCATAGTTGTCTCTCTCTGTCTCTCTCTCAATTTCATAAAATTTTTGTACACATAGTTGCATAAGGAAAGTGTTTTGGGGTTGAACGAATTATGGTTTTTGTGAGTGATGGTTCAAAAGTAATGCAATCATAACTTCCTCACATCTCCATGAATTGTTATTGCTCAAAAGTAATAGATAATCTTCCATGTTATTACTCTTTTTTTTTTTTTGACTAGATTTTTTTCTTGTTACAATAGAGTATAATGACAAAGAAGTATAGGCCAAAAGTTGTGGATACCAGTGAAAAAATGAAGAGGAATAAGAGCTGTAATGATCCTTCCTCTAGTCCCTCCTAGAATAAGAAATGTAATCATCATCCCTTGATTGATCTGTCCTCCAGAGTTAATCCCACCTCCACCAATCCAGTTGATCCCTCTTTCAATACATCAAGTTCATCCAACCCTATACCCAATCCAACAAGTTCATCCAACCCCATATGCAATGAAGACAGGGGTGTGTTGCTGGATTAATTAAAAAAGGTAGGAT